ATAATTTTTTTTATAAATTTTATGTAATTTAATTTTAAATTAATTAAAATTTAATATAATTTTTAAATATAAAAAAATAAATAAATAAAATAAAGTAACACGTTCAAAACTGAAACTTCTGTTCGGTGGACTGTTTACCTTTTATTGCTAAAACGTCCATCAAGAGGACCCCACGTGTTCATTACCCATTAATTACGGTGACAGACTTAAATGGTACGCAGCACCGTACCTTTCTGTCACGCCTTGAAGATAGGAAAAAGAAAAAGAGCCTTAACCCTTAAGCCTGCCCACTGGACGGTTACTTTTGACTTGCCGACAGCTAGGGCCTGTTTAAAGTTATATTATGGTGGCATGCTATCTTGATGCCACATTTCAACTTTGTAATTTTTGTGGACAATTTTCAGGAAAATGTGAGGTTAAATTTGTCATTTAGTATGAAATTTCCATCTTTGCAAAATTGTCCCTCTAGGGTGGGTCCTGGAGCATTGACAATATAAGCTCCTTTTTCAAAATAAAATAGAGGCAAAATTTCAACTCATTGAAAAGTTACAAAAGTTTTGTTCTCAAGGTAAGCTGTCTTCGGAACTCTTCCATGTGCTTATATGTTAGTTGGTTGTTAACATCTGTTAGTTGATTGTTAACATTTGTTAGTTGATTGTTAATATCTGTTAATATTTCATTATAAAAAATATAAAATTTAAATTCAATTTTATTTGTTAGTTTCAGTAACGAAATGTTAACGAATGCTAACAGTCAACAAACAGAACTAACAATTAACTAATAAAATAAACAGTCAACTAATAAAATAAACAGTCAACTAACAGAACTGACAGTTAACTAACAAAACTAATAGAACATTAAAATCTGATGTTAAATAAAGGCTATTTTCTTCAATTTGTATAGATAAGAGGTTAAAAGTGTTATAATATAAGGTGAGAGGCTAAAACCTACCAATTTTGTAAAGTGAAGGGTTAAAACCTAGCACCTTTGTAAGGTAAAGGACTAAAAATGCCATATTATAAAGTTAGGGGTTAAAACCTATCAATTTTGTAAGGTGAGGGGCTAAATGTTGGTTTTAGCCCAATAATATGCATGAAGCAAGTAAGGCTTTGTGAGTGTTATTCTTAATAGAAACATTAGATAGTGTGTTAATGCAAAGGTTGAGTTAGTTTCAACTTCAACCC